CTCTGCTTTGGTGGCCTGGGGTTTGTGGGTTTGGATCCCGGGTGCAGACCTGCACGCTGCTCATCAAGCCATGCTGTGGTGGTATCCCACATACAAAACAGAGGAAGATTGGCACAGATGTTAGCTCAGGGCCAATCTTCCTCACCAAAAAAAATCCCAGAAGTCTTAGTGGGTTAAAACAACAAGCATTACCTCAAAGTTTCTGTAGATCAGGAATCTGGGAGTGGCTTAGCTGGGTGGTTCTGGTTCAGAACCAGAGCTTGTATCGAGACTTAGGCCTGGGCTGCAGTCATCTGAAGACTTGGTTAGGACTGGAGGATTCACTTCCAAAATGGCGCACTCATGTGGCTGTTGGCAGGAGGCCTCAATTCCTCATCGCATGGTCCTCTCCATTGGGCTGCTTGAGTGTCCTCATGACATGGCAGCTGGTCCCCCCAGGCATGTGGTTTAAGAGAGGGCAAGGAGGAAGCCACAGGACCTAAGATTGGAAGTCACGCACTGTTTACTTTTGCCATATTCTGTTAATTAGAAGTGAGCCACTGAGTCTAGCCCACACTCAAGGGGAGGGGAATTTAGTTCTGCTTCTGGAAGGGCGGAGTCTCAAAGACTTTGTGGACATGTTTTGAAGCCTCCACAATCTCCTAGGTCTGTGACTTGGGCACAGCTTTTTCACTTAGGACCATTAGATCTTATAACACATTCCAGAAGGAAATTAGCAAGTCAGTTCCCTCCTCACCTGCTCCTGTAGCACACAGGACTTGCAGAAATGAAGGTTGCAGCTTAGTGGAGATATGCTGTGGACTGACAAGCAGTGAAAGAGCTCAAAAGCTCCACAAAAAGGGGACCCCACATAAAGCCTATATTTTGTTCCCAAATATTTGAGAGTTGACTGCATTTTTCTCCCCATGTACTTTCTGGGGGTGGTGGGAAAATTTTGGGGTGCAAATCTGAAACACAGAGAGGATGGCAACAGGCACTGGGATGAGCATATTTCACGAGCTGCCTCTGCCACTCTGTGGTGGCCATGGCAAGTCTTTCGTTTCTTAGAGATTCAGTTTTCCCTTCCACCAACTGGGGATCCTGTCATCCCTGCCCTGCTTCCTTCCCACGCTGTAAGGAGGATGGAGCCTCTAGTGGATGTGAAATGTGGTTCGGACAAGATGTTTGTCTGTTTGGCCCGGAGTGGACACAAGGGCTCCAGCCACCATTGGCATCCTGGCATCCTCTGCTTTTCAAGCTACCTCCCCTCCCATTTGCACTGGGCTTTTATCTCTCTCTTTTTTTTTTTTTTTTTTGAGGAAGATTAGCTCTTAGCTAACTACTGCCAGTCCTCCTCTTTTTGCTGAGGAAGGCTGGCCCAGAGCCAAGATCCGTGCCCATCTTCCTCTACTTTATATGTGGGACGCCTACCACAGCATGGCGTGCCAAGCGGTGCCATGTCTGCACCCGGGATCCAAACCAGCAAATCCTGGGCCGCCAAGAAGCGGAACGTGCGAACTTAACCACTGTGCCACCCGGCCGGCCCCTGGGCTTTTATCTCTACAACTCACATTTCACCCTTTAACTCTCATCAACCATGTTTGCTGGCATCTTACATGGTCATCCCAGTGTAATATATCAGGCAGGGAAACTGACCTAGAGAGGCTGCCAGTGTCACACAACGGGGAAGCTGTGGTCCATGCACCAGGCCCCAAGCTTCTGGATTCCTGGCTTTTCCTCTCTACCTCTCTGCCTTTCAAAGAGGAACAAAGAAAGTCAGGCTTTTCTGTGCTGCCATAGATGGACGCAGGCGCTGTGTCAGACATTTACGCACACATCTCAGTACTGGAAGCAGTTAGTACCCAAATTTACAGACAAGGAAACTGAAGTGCACAGTGGCTCAGTTCAGGTAATGGGTGTAGCAGTTGAGTGTAAGACAGAAGGGGCTGATGTGGCCTGTGGATGACTGAAGAGGCAGGCCTTTTTTTAAAACAGTGCTGGCCAAACAAAGCACATCTAGGGCCTGGTTTGACCCATGAGGGCCACCAGTTAGAGACCCCTGACTAGTTCAACAAATGGGGATGCTGAGTTCCAGAAGGGGAAGATTTAGTCCAGTGTCACACAGCTGATTAGAATAGTTATAGGGCCGTTGCTGGGGGCTACACTTACACTGATGAATCTGATGTCATCCCTGCCATGAAGGAGCTGAGGCATTTGTGACTAAAAAAAGTAATAATAATTCTCCCATGTGGACAGTCTGGTCTAGCTGTCAGGGCCTTCTCTCTTAGCTCATTTAACTCCACCTCTGTTTTGTGTGTGTCAAAGCCCTTGGTCAGGGACACCCACTCAATGACTGGTGCTCAAATCCTACTGGGGGATATTGCTTGTAATTACTATTTTTTTCTTTTAAATAGGGAAAACATACATATGGTGAAAAACTCAACTAGTTCCCAAGAGTTCACAGTCTGACCTCACAGCAGGCCACCGGGGAGGTACTGATGGGTGGGCCATCCCGTAAATGACTCCAGGAAGCAACACCCTGGCCCAGGGCCTTGACCACCTTGACATGGCTTCAGTGTTTGCTCCCCTAAGGTGGGGATTATAGGGTTGTTTAAGGGTGAAACAAAACAGGTATTATTATTAGCACTTAATAATTGGAACCTACTAATTAATATTGGTGGGGAGCCCCTGTGGATGGGGTCTGGTCAAAGAATGGAGAAGCTTGATTTCTGCCCCTGCAGAGTGGATACCACCATCTCCTGCCCCCGGTGGTTTGGGGGAAGGGTGTGGGGACAGGATGGGAGGAGGGCGGTGGCCCTGGTGAGCATGCCCTGGAGGGTGGGACTTCTGATTTGAGCTGGACTAACTTCTTCAGCCGGAAGTCAGTGGTTGAGGTTTGGCTGTAACCTGCAGACTCTGCTTCTTCAGAGTCTTGGGATTTGCCAGGTAGACCTGGAAGAAGGGCTGAGAAACTCAAGACAGACAGCTTGGGTAAGCACCATCACCGACTAGGGTAGTGACTACGGTCACTACCTCTGAGCCTCTGCTTTCTCATCTGTAAAATGGGGACAACCCTGGGAATGACCTGATAGGTTGTGTGAAAATGGGATTAAATAATCCAGGTATCATAGAACTGGGTACTGTGTTAACACGTATGTATCTCAGTGAATTCCCACCATAATTCTGCGATGTAGGGTTACACAGCCACTTAGCGGGGCAGGTAGGGGAAGGGACAGCAAAAAGCATCTTAGAATGCAGAGTCGAACTTTAGGTCACCTCCCTGCCCTTAGGATGAGGAAATGGCTCAGAGAGGTGAATAAGCTGTCCAAGGTCACGCAGCCAGTCCCTCTGAGGGCGAGAGCCACATCCCTGGTCTCTGGGCTGCCGTACCCTGCGTCTGACATCCCTGCAACCCCCTAGCACTGGTCTCTTCTCTAGCTGGGCTCCGATGGGCACATTTAAGGAAGGTGGCTTTGCTGGGTTGTCACCTCCAGGAGCAGGATGGCGTCCACGCTCCCTGAAAACTGGGGTGCGGGGGTGCCCTAGCGCACGCCGGTAGAACGGGGGTAGGGAGAACTACCCTCGTGCCCCCACCCAGCCGGGGCACGGGGCGGCGGAGGGCGGTGGCGGCGTCCCCTGGCGCGGGCCGGGCGCGCTTCCCTGTCGCCGCCGCGGCCTCCCTCCGCCTCCCTGGCGGCCGCCGCGCCGCGCCGGTGTTCAGTTTCAGCGCGGGGATGAGCGCAGGCTGCGCCCGGCTCCCCGAGGAAGGAAGGAAGCGCGTGAGGGCTTCGCGGTCCTCGGCCGGGGCCTGGCAGCGCGGTGGAGGGGGCTCGGCTCGGGTCGCCGGGACCGGGCGCGCGTCGAGCCTCCGCCGCCAAAGGGGACGCCCGGGAGCCGCGCCGCCGCCGAGGGTAACCGCGGGCGCGCCGGGCGGGGCTGGGCGGGCGCCCCTGCGCTGCGCCCCGCGGGCAGCCCGGGCCGGGGCTGCCGGGGGCCCCCGCTCCATCGGGGCGCGCCGGGGCGGGGTGCGGGTCGCCTCCCGCCCGCGGGTGCACGGCCGGCGTCGCGGAGCAGCTCTTTGTGTCTCCTGGGGCTGCGTGTAAGTGTGTAGTGTGTGCGCGCGCCTCCAGCCGCGTCAGCCGGTGCCCGCTTTCCAGGTGCCCCCGCCAGACCTTTGCCCGAGGGGACGCCACCTGGGCTGCCGGGGGAGTTTCGCTAAGTTGGAGGGAAAAGGGCGGGGTGGGGCCGCCCCGCCTCCTGGCCTCCCCAGACCCCAGGTAGCGCCCCAAAGTTGGTGTTGCAGGTGCAGCGCCCCCTCCTACCACACTCCTCCCCCGCCAGCCCGGGCCTCGGGAGGCGGGAACCCCCAAAGGCTTAGCTCGGGGGCTCCCCATTTTCAGCCCCCAACTTGGAGGGTGCTCTCCTACGCGGAAGCCACCCGGGCCACTGGTTGGGGGTGTCGAGGGGCGCGGCTTTCCGGGCAGGGGGCGGCCGAGGCGGAAGCTCGGCTGGCTGGCCGGCCGGGGAGAGCTGAGCGGCCGTGGCACCGAGCCGGGGTGCCCATGTGACTGCGGTGTGCTTTGGAAGAGGAAGCTGTAGAGGTCAGTGCAAAGGCGTCACGCCAGAGCAAGCGAGAGCAGGAGTGAAGGGGGAGACCCGGAATGAGCGCGGGGCCGGCGAGAGGGCGGGGGTGGCGGGCTGCAGGGGCCCGGACAAAGCCGCCCTGTCACAGCCACCCTGGCCCACCAAACGCTTGCAGTGGCCCGGCGGGAGGGGTGGCCAGGCCTGGCGGCCAGGAAATGAGGGACATGGGAGGAGGGGCCTCTCCAGGAGAGGCGGGTCTTGAAGTGGCGCCCCCCAGCTCAGAGGGGCCTCAGAGGATGCTGGAGGGTGACTGGGAGGGCAGATCACACACCAGCTCAACTTGGAGAACTTTCCCCGCACACGGCGGCCGCAGCTCGCAGGGATTCCGCTCTCCTTACACGCTGGGGAGGTTGGGGCTGGGGCGGGAGTTTGGGGGGCCGGGTGACCAGTTTGGCCAGGCAGGTCTGGGGCCTGGAGGCCGAAGAGCCAAGCTTCTCTCCTGACCTCTCCGCTGTGGGCACCTGAGTGGGTATCCAGCTGCAGATTGAAGGAAGCACGTCTCCTGGCTCCACCTCACAAACACTTAAATTGTTTTCCCTAGACTGTGTTCTGCCGAGGCCTGGAGGGGGTGGAAACCAAGGTTAGATTAAAAAAAGAAAAGAAAAAAAACCAAGGCAAAGAGGTGGTTTTAGGAAAATGAGGACTAATATTTTGAAGTGGTGCTTGGAGAGAAGAGGCCGGTGTGGTCTGTGGGGGTGGGGTGGGTAGGGCTTCTGACCGCTCCCCCCGCCCCCCCCAGTTCCTTGGAGAGAAGAGGATCACCCAGGCCTTCAGAGTGGGGACCTGACTGGGGCTGGGCACACTGCGGGAGGAGGGAGGCTGTGGAGCCCCAGCGCGAGCCGGGACTTTAACCACCCCAGCGGCAGCACCGCAGCCCGCGCCTGTCTTCGTGACAGGGCTGCGTCCTGTGCTGTCAACTACACCCCTCCGATGGGGTTGCTAGGCAGCGGGGCTCTGATGTGCGGGAAGGCCTTCTGATTTGTCAGCCTCCTGCAGACACATGGTTAAGGCTCCTTCCAGCCTATCCGGAGGAGGGACGCGGGGCACGCCGCCTGCATACTGCCGAGCCCCGGGTCCACCTGAATGTGAGGTGCAAAAGGCAGCCAGAGGGAGGGGGCACCTGGAGCCCTCCAGCCTCCTAACCAGCTCAGCCCCACACCCCCCATTATCTTCTCTTGGGCTTGCAGCTGGCTCCTCCCTGCCCGTTCCCGCCCCATTCCTCTTCCCTTCCCCAAACCATGGAAAAGCAAAGTGCAGCAGGGAAAAGAGGTCAGTGGGGTAAGCATGTGTGTGCGGGCCTCCGGCGATGCCAAGGTGCATGGGCAGGAGCCGTGGGGAGGCTGCCCCATCCGTGCCACCGGTGGCTCTTGTGGGAAGGGGTGGGTAGGAGGGAGGGGTCCCTGCCACTGCTGTCTGCCAGGCCTGGACTTGGAAGCCAGCTCTGTCTCCCCTCCTCCTTAAGCTCTGCCTACCCCTAGGAGGGCAGCATATCGAGGGAGGAGACTGGTGAGTTCCTGCAAGGGAGGGTGGGTTGTCTGGCTGCTGCTAGAGCTCAGAATGGGGGCTGCTGGCGTGTTCCTTCTTTCCCCAAATGCACTCCATCCAAGCCTCTAAGGGGCAGGCTCTCCCTCCCTCTCTCCTTCCCTCCCTCTCTGCCTGTCCACCACCACACCCCCAGGATCTTCTCTGAATCCCTTTACTTTTTATTTTAGCAGCTTTACTGAGATATAATTCACATACCATTCGTCCATTTAAAGTGTAGACTTCAATGGTTTTTAGTATGTTTACAGAGTTGTGCAACCACAGTCAATTTTGGAACATTTTTGTCACCCCGAAATGAAACCCTGTACCCATTAGCAGTCAATCCTCATTTCCTCCCAACCGCACCCCCCCCCCCCCCCAGCCCCTGGCCACCACTAATCTATTCTCTGTCTCTGTAGATCTGCCTACTCCGGACATGTCATATACGTGGAATAATACACCGTGTGGTCTTTTGTGACTGGGACCCCTGTACTTTTAGCTGCATTGCTTGCTTTGAAGTCACTTGCCATTTGTCTTGCCATTCAGCTTTTCTGTGCAGTGCTCCATGAAGAGTGTCCCATCCCTAAGGGCAGAGGGCTAAGCATTTCTCTAAGTGCCATGCCTTCTCTGGGCTGGACCACTGGTTGGCTGTCAGGAAGTGATTGTTGAATGAATAAGGAAATGAATGAGGACTGGTAATTGGCAAGCTCTGCAGGTGGTTTACAACTGAATTCCAGGGGGCCCAGCTGCTACAAGGGGGCTGGCAGCTTGGGGGAACTACAGGTGTCTCAGCTGCGAAGGAGCAGAAAGGAAGCCTCTTACTTGGCCAGGGGCAGGGGTGGGGCCAGAGCAGAAACCGAACCAAGTAGCCTGTGGGTTGCCAGCCTCACCTGAAAACAAAAATGCCTCCCCCGGCCTTGGGGGCAGGTGACCAAAGCTTGAGATTCGTCACCTGATCGCAGGGGCTTCCCCCATGGGGAACTCCGATTAGATTTGGATTTAAAAAAGAAAAGAAAAGAAAAGAAAATTCCCCGGTGTCAGTGTTTATAAAAGGGCAGCAGGTCAAGCATCTCTGAAGCTGTTTGCTCACCTCCTGTGGTTCAGGCGCTGAATTGTTTTTTCTACTCCCCTGCTTCTGTGCTGCAGGTACTGTCTGATGAGCGTGAAAGGTTGTTTCACTGACTTCCACATCGACTTCGGAGGCACTTCCGTTTGGTACCACGTTTTCCGGGGTGGGAAGGTGAGTTGGGTCGAGTCTCTTTAACTCTCTGTACATCTTTGGCTGTTTGGGCATGGAGGGCTCACTCACCTTTCCCCTTCCTCCTGCCCCCCTCCTCCAGCCAGCCGTTGCCCTGTGAGTACTTTCAGGGCCACCTCCTCAGTCTCTGTCTTCTTCTGGAGGGAAAGATCAAGATCCACTCTTTTGCATCACATCTGGTCATCTGTTCACACCTGCTCACCCACCCAAGTGTTCTAAGCACCTTGGGCCAGATTAGAACTCCAGATTTGGCTCCCAAGGACCTCCAGCATTCATTTCCCCTGGCTCTAGTTTCAGCTCCAGCACTGAGACCGTTGAACTTAAAAGTCTAGTCGCCAGCACCACCTGCTTCCAAGAACATTTTACGTTAGGGACAGACATCACCCAGAGAAAGGAGGTGGGGCGTGCATTCAGGATGCTCCTGCTGTGTTTGCTTCTGTGTGCACGTCTGCGTGGGGACATGGAGGTCCCTGCACAGATGTGGGTGCTCCTTGACGATACGTGTGTGTGTGCCACCCTGCTCCACTGGGTTGGGGTGTGCATTTGTTGTAACCAAACTCGTTGGAAGAAATTCTGGGTAGGAAGTCATCCCACTTGGTTCCAGATGTTTTTTCTCCTTCTCCAGAGTGAGCACAAGCTGGGTTTATTTATTGGGCCACTTTATCATACAACTTAGGAAATTCCCCTTCCTCTCCTTCCCCCACCTCTCCAACGAGCCTGTGGCTCAGGAGAAAGAATGTTCCACCCAGTCCAGGAAGTCTTCTCACTCTGGTGTTTCAGCTGGAACGGAGAGTCCCTAAAGGCAGGCAAGGGGCGTCCAAGGAGGGTGGCACAGCCCTCCCAGCCTGCCCAGATACCCTTTGGGCCCAGTCCTGGAGGGGGTCCTTGGGGATGGAGCCTCTTCTGTCCCGCTCCCTCCCAGGCAAGTGGGGCTGTCTCCTTGGGTTGTGGTAGAACCTGGATGAAATTAGAGGCCTTGGCCTGCGTCTTCCTCTGATTGCCTTCTTTTCCTCCCAAGATCTTTTGGCTGATTCCTCCAACCCTGCACAATTTGGCACTGTATGAGGAGTGGGTGCTGTCAGGCAAACAGAGCGACATCTTCCTGGGAGACCGCGTGGAGCGATGCCAAAGAATTGAGCTGAAACAGGGCTACACGTTTTTCATCCCTTCCGGTAGGTTCTGGCGAGGCTGACACTGGGCTCTTGCTCGGCCACCAACTCTCCCAGCATTCGGAGTAGTCTCCTGTGCCCCTGTGGCCTCAGCCAGGGTTTTTGGCCAGGTGACGGGTTTCTCTGTGCCTCCTGGCCATTGGCAGTCCATGAGAGGAGCAGCCTCAGGCTGCGGGAACAACAGCACCGTCTGCTCTCACATCTCCCCTGTATCTCCCTGCCCAGGGCAAGAATTCTCTCCCTGGGAGAAAGCCCAGGGCTCCCCCTCAGGGGAGGTTTGAAGCCTTCCTAGGACTTCCTGCAGAGATTTCTGTGTGAGAGGATGACGGTGGGCCTGTGGGGAGAGGAGGACGTTTACCCTGAGGACTCAGAGGGAGGCCCCGGGGAAGGGCAGACCCAGGGGATGTGGGTGTATGTGGGGGCGGAATGTGCTGTCCAGGAAGGACCCGGAGTGGCCGCCTCCTTCCTGCAGAACAAGGTGAAATGTCATTGGGATCAACGTCAGTTCCTGCACTTGGACTCCCCCTTCAAAAAAAAAAATTAACTCCACAACTACAGCAGAGGGCGGTAATTAAGAGCACCAGCTTGGAGCCAGCCTGCATGGCCTTAGTTTGAATTCCAGCTCTGTTGCTTTCACGCTGTGACTTCACAGAAATGACTTAACCTCTCTGTGCCTCAGTGTTCTCATCTGTAAAATGGGAGTAAGACTTCCCAGGGTGGTTGTGAGGACTGAGTGAGCTAAGACCTATTTGCTTACAGCTCTTCAGAGATGGACTGAGGGCTTTTGGCCACTTGCAGGCTGAGTCACTAGTGGATGTGGCAGGTGACCTAGGAATCAGAGAGTGTGATCTTAGCTTTCATTAATGGTAAAATTAATGCATTTTACCCAGGAAGAAGGAGGTGGCAGTCCTACTGTCTAGGGTGAGGGGTTCAGCCACATGTAGGGGGCTGTGTTCCTCTTGGTTATTGTACTTTAGAGGAGAAGTTGACCTGGACAGAGAGGGGTCTGGACAGGTGAGGTGAGTTTGAAGGAAGAACTGGGTTGTTTTACCCAAGGAAGTGAAGGTGTGTGGTAATGGCAGTCAGCCAAGTGAAAGATTATCTCCTGGAAGAAAAGGTATAACCGAGTAGTATTGGAATGACTTGCTCTGCTAGGTAGTGAGCTCCCCACCACAGGAGGTATACAAGTAGAGTCCAGATATGGGTATACCCAAGGAGTCTGTAGAGAATTTGCCACTGAGTGGTAGCTTGGACCTTAGGATAGGCATATCCTTTGGGGCCACTAAGATCCACTGGATGGAGAAGCTGCTCACACTTAGGCTTCTGAGAGTTGGGCTTGAAGCTGGACATCAAGCACTCGTGTGTGGAGTCAAGTAAAGGGGAGTGGCTGCGGTAGCAGTTCCCACCATGGGGATGGGGCCTGCACACCTGGGCTCTTCTAGAAAATCGGGCAGAAGGTGGACACTTCACTGTTAGGGAAATCTGGGATTTGGAGGTGGCAGGGTTTAGTGAGGGTGAGTTTGTCACCATGGCCCTAGGTTTTTCTTGGGCCTGTGTTTGGCTTCGGGAAGGTAGGGACCCCTGCCTTGGACACGAAGGGATTATAGTTGGTGGGCAGTGTTTATGGTTCACACCCTGGCAATATGCCATGGAGAATCGGAAGGGAGGCGGTGTCCTTGGGAAATGGGTTCACACCACTCTGCAGGTGTGGGGGCTGGGCCCTGGCGGATTCATAGGAACTCTAGAGTGCTCTTGGCCTTGCTGCTGACTCTCTCTGTGATCTCAGGCTGGTCTCTACCCCTCTGTGTGCCTCAGCTATCCCGTCTCTGCGTGGGGCTGGGTGGGGCTGAACTCTGGGACCCTTCCTCCTTTCCCTGAGCGCAGGCCTCCTAACCTCCCTGGGAACCAGGCCCTCTTGGCTCAGGACGTTATGCAGAACTGGGAGGTGGCTCATTGCTTTCCCCAGTCCTGGATGGGAGGGGTGATACTTTTGGTGACTTAAGCAAGTTGGAAAAGGTCTTGAGAACCGGCATCTGAACCACGGTAGGGGTGTGAGTGTTGCGGGCAGGCAGAGGACGTGTGGATTTGAACGGTGGCTAGCAGGGGTCAAGGAGGACCCTGCAAAGGCTCTGGCTCTCAGGGTCAGGAGTGAGACACTAGGACTTTTTTCTGGATTTTTGGAAAGTGAAAAAGAGACACTTGGAATTTGTCACCTTCTCAGAGGCAGGGGGTACATGTGGTTCCCAGGCTTTGATTTCATGAACCAATGAAATAAAAAAGTTAGGAGCTGATACAAAGTTGTTAATTTGTAGTTTTGCTAAAGATGGGCATTAATTTAAAAACAACCCAGCATCTACTGTTTCTGATGTTTCATGTAAGGAAGACTATTCTGACGCTAAAAAAATTGAAAGTACGCAGTTCCAGAATAAAGGACAGTACTTTAAATTTGATGGCTTTGACTTTATGAAAATCGACACCATCTTCATTTTTCTCATTTTGTTGCCAACTATTGCAAACTAAAGGACCGGAGTTTTGGAGTCACTGAACTAGATGGCCACCCTGGGTCCTCACGGGGGCAACCACATCTCTGAGCCATGGATAGACACACATCTGAGATTTGTGCTGGTTGGGGTGTGTGCATGTGAGTTTTTCTGTATCAAAGTGGAGAATCTAATCCTGGTGTTTCCTGCCTCTGACCTGGGTTTTTATCTCCACAGTGTGACATTAGACACCCGTCTTCCTACCTCATGCCGGCCTAAAGTCCCCTCCCGTCGCCTCTGTGAAAGCTCATGGCTGCTGATAGGATAGGAAGATTTTATTTTATTTATTTATTTATTTATTTTAAGGATTCGCACCTGGGCTAACAACTGTTGCCCATCTTTTTTTTTTTTCTGCTTTATTTCCCAAACCCCCCCACCGCGGTACATAGTTGTACCTCTTAGTTGCAGGTCCTTCTAGTTGTGGGATGTGGGATGCCGCCTCAACATGGCCTGACGAGCGGTGCCATGTCCGTGCCCAGGATCTAAACCCTGGGCTGCTGCAGCAGAGCGCGCGAACTTAACCACTCGGCCACGGAACCGGCCCCAATTTTATTTATTTTTATTATTATTATTATTATTTTTTTTTGAGGAAGACTGGCCCTGAGCTAACATCCGTGCCCATCTTCCTCTCCTTTATATGTGGGACGCCTACCACAGCATGGCTTGACAAGAGGTGCCATGTCTGCACCCTGGATCCGAACCGGTGAATCCCAGGCCGCCAAAGCAGAACGTACACCCTTAACCGCTGCGCCACTGGGCTGGCCCCATGGAAGATTTTAAATAACACAGTATCTTTGTGAGACACGGTTTAACTTTTTCTTCTGGTGTCTGGGGGTGAAGGGGTTGGGCACTGGCTCTGTTTCAGGGGTGCTGATTCCTCCGATCTCACTCCTGGGTAGTCCAGGAAGGCTGCCTGGAAGAGGAAGACTGTTGAAGGAGACTGAGGACTGGGATGACCTGGAGAAGGGGGCTTGGGTTTGTCCTGCTGAGCTGGCCAGCCCTCAATGAGGCAGAGAAGGTGGGAAAACAGTGGCTTCACAAGACCACACAGAGTCGGGGTCAGGAGTGGCTGAGGAGTCACCAGGATTCAGTCTGATCATTAGGAGTAAGGAGGGCTGGAGTTGGAATGCATCCCCAAGGAACAGGAAGTTGGATGAAGCTGCTGACATCTTTTTCATTTACCGGACCTGACCTATGGCCAATGCCCTGACCACGTTCATGGGCTTGGCCTCACCCCCTGGCTTCACCAGCCCAGGGGAGCTACAGTTAATAGTAATGAGAACTCACATTACTGAGCAATGAACATTTTATCTACATTACTTACCTTCTCCGTAAGCATGTCAGGAAACACATCCTCCCAACTCCTGCCCTTTTTTTTTTAATAAAGTTCCTGAGGCCCAGAGAGGTGAATAAACTAGCCCAAGGTCACACAGTTAATAAGTAACAGGGCTGTGGCTGGCCCTGTGGCCCAGGGTTTCACTGGTTCGGATCCTGGACATGGACATGGTATCACTCATCAAGCCATGCTGAGGCGGCATCCCACATGCCACAACTAGAAGGACCCACAACTAGAATACACAACTGTGTTCTGGGGGGCTTTGGGAGAAAAAGGAAAAAGTAAAATCTTTTAAAAAAATAAATAAATAATAAGTAACAGGGCAGGGTGAGAACCCAGGTGTGTCTGGTTTCAGAGCCCACCTGGTTCCCCATTAACCTGGGAGTCAGTGGACCTGGGATCTGGTCCACTTTCTCAGCTGTGTGACTTTGGGAGAGTTATTTGCTCATTTAATAAACTTTCTTTAGGGCCTGCTTGGTGCTGTGGAAGGCCCTGGGGAGGATGTCAGACAGATGCCCTCCATTCTCCAGCCACATAGCAGCCAGGATGGTGGAGCCCAGTATAGGGACCTGGGAAAGGACCCTGGCGTCAGTGGCTTGGGCTGGCCTGAAAGTGTTGCCCATCCGTGCCTTGTATTAAGAAACACCTGAGACCCAAAATTCACGGTAGCCCCAGGTATTTCTTAGACTCTGGCAAGTCTGAGAAACAGTAACTTGTAGCTACTTAATGGTGTAACGTGACTTCGGCCTCAGATGACCCATCTGTAAAATGGGTACAGAGCAGACAAAGGGTGGTAGTAAAGCAAGCTGGACATGAGGCAGAGGGTGGTGGGGCTGTGGGAAACCAGGCAATTGCTGCTCAGCTCCAACCAGTTATGGCCAGGTGGGAGTGGGCCTGGTGAACCCATCTTCTCATTTTTCTAGGGAAGAAAGCAATTCAGATTGTCTTGTGAAATTTCCCCATTTTTGTAACACAGGTGTGTCAAACTAGACATGCCCCTGGGTCTGAGGGAGCCCCTGGCCTGCCAATTTGAGTCCCTGGTACCATCTACCGGGTCCTAGAGAGGAGAGGCCATCCTTACTTCATCTTGGCCACTGCAGTGCCCAGCCCTGGTGCCTGGCCCAGCCCAGGGAGTTCATCAGTGCTCATGAAGGAAGCAGACCGTGGGCCTCTGTGAGGCGCCGCTGCGTTCAGTGACCTTTGGGATTACCCCTGTGGCAGCCACAAAGGTAGACAGATGTGGGCGGGGGGCCTTTGGATTCTGAATCCCGAGTGTCTGGGTTGTGAGCGAGAGTCCATGTGCTTCCACTGGCCTTCTCAGCCCCTCAGGTCCCAGAGAACACCCGTCAGTAGGTTTTGTGGGTCGCCTGTTTTCCTTCCACGACTAAATCTGTCCCTTGTCACTTGGCCTGAATAGCCTCTGTTACTGCCTTCATATTGTTTCTGACTCTGGTACGGAAGCAGCCTCCCCAGCCCAGTCACCAGCCCAGGGACGCCTGCTCTCTCATGCTTCCTGGGGTGCGGCGAATGAGACGCCATCAGGAGGGCGGGCATGGAGGGGCTTACGAACGCTGTCATTTCCACTCTCTGGTTCTTCCTGAGGGAAGCGTTTAATGGAGCAGATGAGATGGGGCCTGGGGGAAGGGACTTGGCAGCAACTCTAATCCAGGGGAGGCTGCCTGATCCACCTGCGAGGCCCTGGCTTGGGGAGGAGAGGAGAATGGGTAGAAGCTTCCAGAACCCCTCGAATGTCTGGGAGTACAAATTCCCTGGCCCCCTACTTGAAACAGCACCTCTCTTCTGTTTCCCTCTTTGCTCACGCATCACGGTAACACATGAAAGTCAGATGTGTCTGCATTTCCACCTGATAGGAGAGAAGGGCGAGTCCAGGGCTGATAACTGTGGGTTCACGTGGGCACCGTTCTTTCCAAAGCCCTCGTGATGGATGAGTCTCCCACAAATATCAGTGGCAGTTGCTTACATGGATTGAGTTCTTGCTCACCAAGTTCCCCACGACGGAGGCAGTGGTCTCCCTCATTTCACGCAGGCGGAGGGAGGCCAGGAGAAGGAGCAGAAGTGCCCTGTGTCACGTGGTGGGTCGGGGCTGGGGACAGTCTGGAGCCCAGGCTCCCGGACTTGGGCTTTCTGTGGGGTGGTAGGTAGGCCCGCGAGGAGCATAGGAACAGGACTCAGGAATTCTTGGTCCCGTTCAGGCTTCACCCCACCATGTGCATCCATCTGAACCTGGCAGTCCTAGGTCTACAGAAATCTTGCTTGAATAGCGCCGATGGTGGTAACAACAACAGTAATAGTAGACGGCGTAGCTCTGCTTGGTGGAAAAATTAAAATGTACAGTTGAGAAAATCAGCTGGTACACAGCTGAGGCGGAGAGGCTGGAGCAGATGTGGAAACCGAGACTTTAAAGGCGGCAGCCATACTCATCCTGCACAGAGCGGGTGAAGGTGGTGGGGTGGGCGCCCAGGTAATGCGACAAGGGCACACCTGTCCAGCAGAGCAGCTCCCTCTGTCGCCACTGAGCCAGAGACGAGGGGAGCTAACAGCAGAACCAGGTTACATAAAGCCTTCGTTCTGGTGCACTTGCCTGGCGGTGTTACCCTGCCCTCCCCGCAGGACTGCCAGCTTTGTCCCACCCACTGCCCCCAGCCAGGGAGGACCAGCCGCCCAGAGTGTCGGCACAGATGCCAGCACTGCCTCGCAGCCTCCAAGCTCTCTTCCCAGGTGGCAGCTTGGCTCCCGGCAGCCCTGCCGCCCATGGTGCCCGTGACTCAGGGCTGGCGTGTTTCAGCTCACCGGAGGAAAGAGGCTGGAACTGCTCGGGCTCAGGGGGGACTCTGGAATTTTCCTTTGAGCAGTGCATTAGGCACAGGCTCAGGAGAAGAGTGGACGGGAGAAGAGGGGCGGCGGTGTCTGGCTCGGGATCTCGGATTGCCCCGTCTGTCCCCTCCCCTTCTGCTGATCCTGTCTTTCACTGTGAGGCCCTCTTCCTCTGTCCTGTCTTTGCCTCCGTGTCTCTTGTTTCTATCTGCGTTTCTCTTTTTGCCTCCCCTCTGTGTTTGCAGGCCTGTCTCCTGGGACTCGCAGGCCTGTGCTAAGCCTTTGATGCAACGGCAGTGCAGCATCACGGTGAAAAACGGAGGTGCTGTCACTTACCAGCTGTGACTTCATTCAGCGAGTGACTTACCTTCTCTGAGCCTCTGTTTCCGCATCTGTAAATGGGAGTGGATCATAATACCACCTCTCTCTAGCTCTGCGCTGCCCATTACGGTAGCTAGGAGCCTCATGTAGGCCTGTTGAGCAATTACAATATGGCCAGTCTGAGATGTGTGAGTTAATTCGGTGACTTGCTTTGTCCCTAGCCTTTATGGATCAAGCGGAGGCTGACTCCCTGGGTTGCAATCCTGATAAGTGACTTGACTTTTCTGTGCCTCAGTCTCCTCATCTGTAAATTGGGGATGAATATAGAATGTGCTTTTTAGGGATTTTGTAAGAATTAAATGACTTAGACCAGTGTAAAGCCCTTAGACCAGTGTCTGGCACCGGGGTAGCACTCAGTTATCATGTTCATGATTCCTGTGCCAGGCTTTGGTCTGGGAGCTCAGGGAGGTGAAAAGGCCATGCCGCAGGCTGTCAAGAAGCTGCAGCCAGCAGGAGAGAGACTTGGCAGCATCATATGGCCTGTAGGGCAGAGCTGATGTGAGACTACAGGTTTGTGTGGCTAAGGAGACCACCTGAAAATGGGCCTGGGAGGATTTTGATGGCAGAAGGTAGACTTGGGCAGAGGGAAGCGTCTGGGTCCTGTAGCCCTGGCAAGATACCACTTCTTTGTTGTGGCCCCAAGTAATCCTTTGTGACCCCTCCTGAGATCAGTGGTCCCTGGGATGTCCAGGAGAAGGCTCAAGGACATTTGAACAGCCTGAGCGAGGGGTTTCCAGCTCCCCGGCCAGCATGGGAGGCGGGCAGAGCCTGCCTCTCTGTTGGCTGCTGAAGCCAGGTCCACGACACTACGAGGAAGCCTTTGTCATCGAGGTCCTCAAGAAGCGAGGGCTAGTCTCCAGCTGCCCACCACCTGACTTGAGCTGGCCAGGAGTCACTGCCTGCAGTGGTCCAGTGTGGCTGCTGGCCTGAAGTCCTCTAGGCCAGCCAGGAGCCTCAGCGTACTGCAGCAGGCAGCCCCAAGCATCCTCGATCCCAGCCCTGGGTGCTCACCTGGGCCTCCTGCACCCTCCTGCATGCTGGTGTAGGTGAGGGACCCCAAAGGGGCCGGTGACTGACCCTCCCTTTGCCCTCCCACCCCAGGTTGGATCCATGCAGTCTACACCCCTGTAGACTCTCTGGTATTCGGCGGAAACATCCTGCACAGCTTTAACGTGCCCATGCAGCTGCGGATCTACGAGATCGAGGACAGAACACGGGTAAGGCGGCTTCCTTCTCTCCTTGTGGGCATGCCGGCCCCTGAGCTCTGCCGGGCGCTCGGGGTATGCGGACAAGTCACTCTGAAGTCTTCCACAGTCCCCCTCTCTCCTGCTCCCTGCCCCAAGCTGGGCCTTGGTCCTGGTTCTGCAGGGCAGGGGGTGCCCACAAGAGCCCCACCCAGGGCCCCGGGGGTTTCTGTGCACCTCCAGGCCGGTGGCGGCCAAAACCCCCTTGCTGAAGAGGAAGTACCTCTTGAGAAAGCACCGTGAGGTGTCGGGAACCCTGCCTCTTCCTTCTTCCCACATGAAGAAAAGGATGCGAGGAGTGGGGGGAATTTCATGGTTGTTGTTGCTGAGGTTTGGGGAGGGGCTGGGGCCTTGGAAAGAAGGTCAGGTCTTGGCCATATGTCCCCCGGGGCCCCCAAATGTGGTGTGGAGCCCCGAGGAAGCCAGTGTCTGTGGGTCCCCTAGGTGCTGTCTCTGAGTTCCGCCTCAGTGTCCGCTTGGGGGTCCCTAGCTCCCCTTGACAGCTACCCTAACAGTTTCTCAGACATTGAGTCTCACCCACCCGTCCGCCTTGGGACCAGGGTGAGGCTCAGACACCTGCCGTGTACCCTCCGCTCCACTCCCTGAGTTTCCCTTGAAAAGCACTGGCCACTTGAATTGGCTACTCTCTGTCCCAGGCTGGAACTTGACCAAGGGTCCCCAGGCATTTGAGACAGGTCCGAGGGTGGGGAACTGGGGCAAAAAGAGCCCATTTCTTCCTCTTTTTTCTTATAGTTATTCAAATATTTATTTTCTTTTTAAAATTGAGATATAATTCCCATACCTTAAATTTCACCGTTTCAAGTACATAATTCAGCGGTATTTAGCACATTCACAATGTTGTGCAGCTATCACCTCTGTCTAATTCCAGGACATTTTCATCACCCCAAAAAGAAACCCCACACTCATCAGCAATCCCTCCCCATCCCCCCCTCCCCCAGCCTCTGTCACTCACTAATCTGCTTTCTGTCTCTATGGATTTGCCTGTTCTGGATATCCTATAAATGGAATCATATAATACGTAGCCTTTAGGGTTCTGGCTTCTTTCATTTAGCATGATGTCTTCAGGGTTCATCTATGTTGTAGCAGGTGTCAGTGCTTCATTCCTTTTTATGGCTGAATCATATTCCATTGTGTGGATAGACCACGCCATGTCTTCTTAGGCTGAGCTGTGGAGATGACTTTTTTGCCCCTGAGAGGTGTTGCCGTGCCTGGACCCTAAAGAACGTCTTAGCGGCAGATGCCCCCTGCCCAGGCTCCCTGCCTTTCCTGGTCTTGTTTTCAGGCCTCGGTCTGCATGGAATCACATGCATAGTGAGGCAAAGTCTTAGCCACTATGTGCGTATCTGACCTTTTTAACAGTCCTGATGTTGAGGGTCTTCGTCCTGGGGTTTCCTGGGGACCACTTTGAGCCACATTCAACCATCAGGTGTGCTACAAGGGGGAATGCGCCTCTTCAGATGGGCAGGTTTGCTCCCTGGGGTGCCCAGATCTGCAGAGACTGGATCTCGTTTTGTGGACTTCTGCGCCTGGCTTCTCTGTTGCCCACCCACCATCCCTTTCCTGGTCTAGGGGAGGCCAGCCCCAGCCCTGTTGTGGAGGATGCCGCCCGTGGCGTTCTGGAGGATGCCGCCCATGGCATTCTGGAGAAAGAAACCATTTGGGTGTGAGTGGTCATCTCATAGTCTGGGTCAAGTGCTGTCTGGGGCTCTGGCCAACTGTTCTTTGGCCAGCCCTGAAGAATGGGCCAGTTTGTTTGTGAGCAGACTGGGAGGTGTGGGATAGAAAAGGAGAAATCTCCAAGAAGGCAGGCCCGCGACTTTCCAGGCAATTCCTGAAAGCCAGTCAGGCTGAGATTTCTAAAGTCTTCTGCAACTTGCTTGGCAGCCGTCCCCCTCCCCCAGAGAAACCAGATCATACATCTCAGTGGATTTGGGCCCCATCATTCCATTAGGAACCCAGCCCCCCTCCCCCACCCTTGGCAGGAGGCGGGAGGGAGAGTAATCGAGCGGAACCCTGCATCCCGCTGAGCTCCTGTGGAATATCGCGCCCACATTGGGATGAACGCAGCAGGGGCCCCTCCCCTAAGGCCCACTGTCCTGTTGTCTGAGTGGGCACCCCATCTGGTTTCCCTGAAGCAGGTTGATGGGCGGGGGGCTGGCGGGCAGGCTGGGCTGGAAGCAGTGGCAGGCTGTTTAATCTGCTTTGATTTCTGGTCTTTGGAGAGGGCTTGGCTACAAGGCCCAATTGTTTATGTCTTAGGAGCCAAGGCAGACAAAAGATACTGGGGAGAGAGGACTGGAAGCAGAGAAAATGCCAGGGCTCCTTGTCAGCTCACTGCAGCTTAATTCTTTACATCCCCGCGAGCTTTCGTAAGAAGGTTATGGCCATTTAAAAATAGTTTTTCAAGAGTCCTAAAACATGGCTTTGCTTGGAAACCAAAAGCAAGGGGTGGGACAGAGGAAACCATCAGTCTCCAAGCCTCACGGTGGGGAGTTTGTTTTAGAACAAGAATTTGCCTTTGTGGCCCAAAGTGGGGGACCTCCCATCCAGACCAGGGGAACCCCAAAGCTCTCCTCTGTTTAGGAAGCCAAGTCTTGCTCTCATGACTTTAATTTCTCTGGGCCGGGTGATGGGTTATTTCACCCTGCAGCCCATAAGGCAAGCACGAACAGGTGCAGGTGTCCTGGACTGGGGGGTTTCCTTTTCCCTCCCCCTTGTGCAGTTTAAATCTTCCCCTTCTCGTTGGAAGCAATGCAGAGGGGTGGCAGAACTACACCAAAGAATGGATGTATTGCATGTTTATTATTTGAAGATAACGTCTCAACAACTATCCGTACATATTTTTCACTCCAGTTAGGTTGATAAGGGATAGGGATGTTCCAGCTGATCACTCATTAAATTGCCGTCTCTTATTATATTTATCTTTTTTTTTCCCCCAATGGCTCTGGTGAAGCAGCCTTCTCAGGAAAGGTAATGCCGGCACGCCCCTTCCCTCTCAGCCAGTGAATCGATTTGGAAATTGCAAATAATTTACCCTTTCTCTCGCCTTTCCCTTACCATTGGATTTTTTTTTTCCATTGACTTTTTTTTTTTTTTCCAGGAGAAAAACAAATTTTAAGACACTTCCACCCACCCTCATATTTTAGTGTTTTATGTCCTTGAGACCTGGGAGTTTTAGATACACTGAAGCACCTGTGGTTCTATCTCCTGAGGTCACTCAGCTCTACGAGGCAGGGCTCCGGCCAGGTGCTGCTCAGATGGGCCTTTGGGAACTCAAACTGACCCCTTGAGACCCGCTGATAGATTGATTACCCCCCAGGCTGGGAGCATTGCATGCTTTCTGACTGCCTTGCCTTTTGGTGAACTGCTCAATTTGGTGAGGCTCCGAATTTGTCAACAAATAATGTTGAGCAATCGTGTGTTTAATGTTCCCAGGCATGTGGCTGAAACCTTTTGAAGGCGAAGGGTGGAAGGCGACAACCCGTTTGTAAGTCAATTCTTTGCAAATTTTGTTTCCTGCGGTGCTCTCTTGGAAAAAAAAAATAAAAAAATAAAATGAAAAACTCTGAATTCCTTCATCAGCATTTGTTTCCACCCAGCTGGTTTCCCTTGGGTTCAGCAACCGTGAGAGGATACTTATCTTCCTCTCCTGAAATACAGCCAAAAAAAATTTTTTTTTTTCCTAATCTAGAAAGATTCTCAGGCACCATGGTGCCCGTCAAGGCAGAGTGGCTCGGACGGTTTCCCAAAATTTGAAAAGTCAAAAGCAACTTCAGAGTTTTACCAGTTGAGTCTGAAGTCAGGAGATGGGTTAGGGTCTGGGGAGATGCAGGCCGCCTGTCTCTCGCTGCTCTCTAGGTATTGGCAATTTGTCTCAAAATGGCTTGGCTCTTGCTCTGGAGTCGGGGTGGGGCTGAGACCCCCAAACCCTCTTCACAGGAGGTCAGGGTCTGCCTCAAGACGAGGAGCCTCACTCCTTTTTAAACTCCAGAGGACACCGATCCTGTGACTGTGCAAAAAGATTAATGTTATCCCAGCAATGAAACTGGGGTTCTCGGGAAAGTAGCTGGAGCCAAGGAAACCGCTAGATGATGTTCCCAACTCCATGCATCCCCGCGAGGAGCTTGAAAGCATGCGGCAGCCAGGATCTCATTCCAAAGCATACCATCTGCCAGAGGCAGGGAGGTCAAATGGACCCAATATGCAGATAGGAAAAGTGAGGCCCCCAATGTGGGTAAAGGGCCTCGCACCTGGAAGCTGAGTCGGTGGGGCCTGGGGTGGACAGGAGCTGGGACTCTCCAAGAGGGCAGAGTTGGGGCCTTTTCCAGATGGGCACTGTGAGAGAGGCAGGACAATCGTATTCTGGGGCAGATGGAGGATCTGTCTGCTTGTGTTTGCCGCCATCCCAGTTGTAGAATGTCGCCTATTGATTGTCAGCAGACAAAGTGGGAGAGTGTGCTTGCTTAACACCCAACTTCCTGCGTTCCTGGAGGATAGGATAGGAGAGGTGAGGAGGGGTCTCTGGTCTCTGCAGAGGTCCCTCGAGGCAGACACACCCTTGGTGAGAGGGCAAGTGAGCAGGCCAGGGGTGAGTATGGATGTGCAGGATCCATGTGTAGCCTTGGGCCCAGCGGTGGGACACAGAGACCACCCTCCTATCACCCGCATTCCTCCCTTGCGCCCTCAGGATGTAGTTTCTGGAAGGTTCATTTGTGCCAGGGCCATCAGTGGTATTGCTTCCTTCCCATCCTTCGCTGCCATCTCATCCGTATAGACCCCTCGCTGCCACCCATCGGAATCCCCGCGGGGCCCAGCCCTTCTCACAGTTCTGATGCGCAAAGCTATCTGCACCTATCCTTCCCTAGAAGGAACAGGCAAAAGGGGACCTCCACCTGGATTCCTGCTCCAGACCCTGGGGTGTGTTAGGGTGGTCCCAGGTCACACTGGGAACTTGTGTCTGAGGGAGTCTTCTGTGGGAACACAGGCTGGGCAGTGCTAGGTGGTTGTGGAGGAGGAGCCGGAGGTGGACCCCTCTGAGTCCCCGCCCTAGAGGTAGGAGAGGCCACACCCCTCCTTCGTCATTGGTGTGCCTGGTGTGGCCTCCTCCTAGAGTACAGGAGATGCTTGATAGCCTGTCTGCAAATGGGTAAGGTTTGGGGGTTGATTTCTGTTTTTCAAGGGGTAGTAGAGTCTGTGCAAGAATTCTAGCCCCCGTCTGTTGTAGCTAGAATCAGGCAGTGGCTTGCATCTGCAGGTACCCGCACCCTCTGTCAGCAGGGCAGGGGACAACTCTGTTTCTCTGCATCTCACAGAAGCACAAAGCGGACCCCATCCAGCTTCCCCTGTGCACAGCTCAGGGAACTTTGAAATGATGCTCTCACATAGGTCTCTTCCTCATTTGTGCATGCTACTGGTATCTTGTCCTGTCCAGTGCCTCCCTCTTGCCTTCCCTCTAGCCCACCCCCATTTTTCCCTCACACCATTTGTACTCTTGCTAAGATGATGAAAATAACTTCCCCCCAAGGAACTCCTCCCATCCCCTAATTCTCTCCCTCTGATCCCCTTTGCCCTCCAGAAGCTGATCTCTGCCCCTGGGTCTTTGCTTTCAGGTGCAGCCCAAATTCCGTTACCCCTTCTACTATGAGATGTGCTGGTATGTCTTGGAGAGATACGTGTACTGTGTGACCCAGCGGTCCTACCTCACTCAGGAATACCAGAGAGAATCAATGCTTATTGGTGAGTGAACCTCGGGCCCGACCGCCTTGACTGCTCAGCTGGGGCAGAAATTGTTTCAGTGGGCCTTTGGGAGTCTTGGGTTCAGGAAATCTTTTGAGCCAGAGTGTTGGGCAGATCCTAGAGACCCCTTAGAAGGGGAAGCCATTCTTGTCATCTCTTGCCTTAGAACACAGAGTCCAAGAAAATGAAATCGTGACCCCAACAGCTTCCCTTCTCGCTGGTGACCATGCAGATGTGGGGAGGGGCCCGTCCTGGGCAAAGATCCCCACGGAGCAAAGAATCTTGGTTCTTTTTATTCCTCCCTGGCCACCAGCTGACTTTTTTCTTCCTGCACCGGGGTTTGGGTTTTTGTCTATATAGGAGCAGGCCCATGAGATGCAACCAGTCTCCAAAATCCCAAGCCAGCTTTAAGCCAGAGGGAGGGGTGACCGGGGCTGGAGACAAGCTTGGCAGAGCAGTGGGTGGTTCTGACAGTGGCAGGGAGAGCACATTTATAGCCGCAGCTGCAGCGCCCTGCCCTACTTAAAGGGACATCGTCCCCCTAGAATGGCTCAGTCCTTGAATCTTGACTCGCAGACGCCCTCCCCATAGTTGCATCTGGCTGTGACAGCCCCAAAGAGCGATCTGTAGGAGGAACGCGTTTCTCTGTCTCTCCTCTGCTGTTCCTGTTGAGGGGTTTTCCGGGGCTGCACTTGCTGTGCCTCCTTCACTGCATCTTTCTCATCACGGGATAGAAAAATGCCATCGGTCTATCTCCTTTAGGGTCTGCGTGATTTCTCTTGCAATTTCCGGGATCTTCAGATTCTTTTTTTTTTACCCCTCACTGTAAGCCTTCTTCCTTCCTTCCCTTGACTCCCCTCCTTAATGACTTTAGGGGTTTCAGGCCGAACAGATGATGGGGACTAATGTTTCTGCTGGGGTCTTTATTGGGAAGTGCTCATTCGCCTTCTGGAAATTCAGTTTTGTCTGGGGGGTCTATTGTAAGTCTCATTCCTGTCAGATGATGCGATATTCAGGTGTTGAAAAATACTGAAACCCTACAACCTGCTCTTCTGAAGCTCCCAGCCTGATCCGAGATGGGAAATGATTCTGAAAGAGTGTCATAGCTACTGTGGTTGCAGTAGCTACACATTCCTGTGGGGACCGGAGGCTTGATTTTGTGACAGTCCCCAGGACCAGGAAACGAAGGGTCTCTTGTCTCGTGTGGATATTTAGGGCCATAGAAGAACGTTTCCAATTCCGTTTCCAGGCAGGAGAGGAAATCTGGAGGCAGTGTTTGGGTCATCGGCACCCGCTCTTTTCTTAAATTGTCTTGTCACTCTTTTCTCCTTGCCCCCAAAGAGAAGGGGGGATGTTAGGGAGACACCTCCTTGATCGAATGCTAGTTGTGTGCCAAACCGTGCTTGGTGACGCCTTACTTAATCCTCACAACGAGCCTTCAGAAGTGTTCTTTGCCTTATATTTTCTAAACAGCATCATTGGGATATAGTAACATATGATACAATTCACCCATTCACTGTGTACAATTCAGTGCTTTTTAGAATATTCCCAGAGTTGTGCAACCGTCACCACAGTCAACTTTTAGAACATTTTCGTCATCCCAGAAAGAAACCTGTACCCTTGAGTTATCATCTCCTTATCTCATATCCCACCCCACACCCCAGCCCTAGGCAACCAGTGATCTGCTTTCCGTCTATAGATTTCCCCCTGTTCTGGATGTTCCATATGAATGGAATCATATATAATATGTGCTCTTTTTGCCTTATATTTATATATTGAAAAATAAAATGCCAGGTGTGTTCTGAGAGGTGAAGCAACCTATCTGGGTACACACAGCTGGGAAGGAGCAGGGCTGGGATTTGAACCTATGTCTGACTGACCCAGCCTTTCTAGAGGCTGAGGGAGGCATAGACCATAGAACTGTGAAAAGACGCTCCATCTGCAGAGTACAGTGGAGGTGCAGTGAGTAGAGGTCCCAGGGACTTCCAGCAGGGAGTTTAGGATGTCACCTCAGTCTTTCTTATGACCCTTACCCCTGCCCCCCGTAGATGCCCCACGGAAGCCCAGCATAGACGGCTTCTCATCTGATTCCTGGCTGGAGATGGAGGAGGAGTCCTGTGAGCAGCAGCCGCAGGAGGAGGAGAAGGAGGAGGAGGAGGAGGAGGAAGGTGCAGATAAGGCACCAAAGCCGCCCACCGATGGCCCTGCCTCACCCACCAGCACCCCTTCTGAGGACCAGGAGGCCCCTGGGAAGAAGCCCAAAGCACCTGCCATGCGGTTCCTCAAAAGGACTTTGTCTAATGAGTCAGAGGAAAGTGTGAAGTCCACGACGGTGCCCATAGACTACCCCAAGACGCCCACCGGCTCTCCCACCACCGAGGTCTCAGCTAAATGGACCCACCTTACCGAGTTTGAATTGAAGGGCCTGAAAGCTCTGGTGGAGAAACTTGAATCCCTCCCGGAAAACAAGAAGTGTGTCCCTGAAGGCATCGAGGACCCCCAGGCACTCCTGGAGGGTGTGAAGGTGGGCAGAGGGTCACGTCTGGGGCTGGGCAGCTGAGGGCCGGCAGGTTCTGTTCAAGGTGCAGCTTCCCAAGGGCGGCTCAGCTCAGGGTGGCTCGGTGCAGACTGGCCGGGGGTAAGTCGAGGCGCAGCGGGGCCTCTGGGGTCTCTGGTCCAAGCAAGCCCATCTGGAGTGTCTAAGCAGAGGCCACCACTGCGAGCTGCATGGGAAGCTTGGGGGAAGTTGGCTCTGGTTGACAATGAGTTCTCGCTCAGCACTTGCTGAGAAATCAGAAGCGTCACCAGCAGTGTTACAGGTGTGCTCGTAGCACTGTCATTGGGTTGGGGACAGACTCCTCCGTCCTGCTCAGGAAGACTTGCTGTTCTGGGCTGCCTTCCCTTGAAGTGTGCCTCTGTTTCATGTGAGCAGCTGGTACATCCTGATGGTCCTCCAGGTGGCCAGCTAAGGTGGGCCATGTGGCTACACGAGGTTCAGAGGTCTCCAAATGGAGCCCACTCATTGAGCAAACTCTCACTGAGCACCAGGTGTGCTGGCCGTTGGGGGAACAGAAAGCAGGAGGGCACGGTCACTGCCCTCAGGTAGCTCACCAATTAGCAGGGGAGCAGGCGGGTGAAGAAATCAGGAGACGGGGAATTAAGTGCCACTGAGCATGCTGTGTGTACTCAGGGCATGGAAGTGGGGTGAGGGGACACTTATCAGCTATACCAGGGGCCAGGGCTCTGGGACAGTTATGCACAGGGAATTTGACCTGGGCCTTAGAGGCTGCATAGGAGTTCTTCAGATGGGGAAGACTGCTACAGGCAGAGTGCAAACGTGCCGTGTGTTTTATTTCCCAGGAAATACATTGGGAGGTCTTGTCCTGTAGTAATCACAATCATAACATTTTTTGAAAACACAACTACCTGTCAGGTACCAGTGCTAGGCAAGGTACCCTAATTATCTGCACTTAACGGATGAGAAAGTAGGCTCAGAGAAGTTAAGGGACATGCCTGAGGTGACAGAGCAGCTAGATAGGGGAGCTGGGATGAGGACCCAGCAGTGGCTCCAGAGCTCCCGTGTGTATACCACCACATGGAACTGCGTCCTGTTTCAGCATTGCTAAGGCCTTTTGGTGTGAGCCCTTGGAGGCATGTGGGCTTCCTTCTCCTATGTCTGATTCCCAAGTGACTTCAGCTGCCTGCTGGGGTTGGAAAAAGTCTCTTTGAGGGTTGCAAACTCTACCCAGGACTTATTAATTCGTTCATTTGTTCATTTAGGAAACATTGTATCAGGTCCTGGGATCTAGAAATATTCAGAGTGTCCAGCCCTTGAGGTGCTCAGTGATCAGGGGCTGAACTCTTGGGGTCTAGCCAGATAGAGACTGGGGCCTATGTCAAGTAGCCTGACAGGTGCCACCAGCAGAAGGAGCTGGTGTACAAAATCATTAATCCAGTACATCTCTCTTAATTTAGCAGGTATGTCCCCCTTAGGTGCTGTGAAATGAAAATCTTATAACCTGGAGAAATTGCCAGGTAAAAGAACGCTGTAGTGAATATCCCTATAAAGCAAATCTTTATTTCCTAATGGGTCTTTTTTATTGATTCTTACTTTTTGGGAGGTTGCTGACCTCTCTTGAGAGTTTTATCAAAGTATGCTTATACACACAAAATTTTGCATGCAATGTCAGGGATTCTTGACCCCCTGAGCCTGTTCCTAGACCCCTGATCTTATGGCATGGATTTTTGTATATTGGGTTTCCTAAAGGAAACCTTAGAATTCTATCATGTGGCTGTTTTTTTATCTGAGTCCTATAAAGTAAAAACAAGGAATTTTCATCAGTAATAAAACTGTTAATAGTATTAGGGTCCCAAAATGTTGTAAATGAGTCAACAACACATTCATCTTAAGAGAAAGTGTTGTTTTGTGCTCGTGGAAAGCCTTTTTTACTTTAAAAGTAGCTTTGTGTCTCTGATCTGTTCCGTGCAGTGTTCCTGGTTGCTCAGATTTCTTTGCAGGGATGGGGCTCGGCCCCTCCCATCTCTCACCTATACCTGCCTGATGGGTGTCTGAGGCTGGATCCAGCCTAAGCCCCTTGATGGTGTGGAGGCTGCCTGGGGTGGAGGCTTAGACACATTTCAAGGAGCCCAGCCTCCCTCCCTCCATCCCCACCATGGGGTTCAGTGGCCGCTCATGATAATGTGTCTCAATTACTATATGCTGTCGTAGGTGTCTTTTTACATATAAACTCATTTAAACCTCCCATCAACCCTCTGTGGTACTTTTATTATCCCCATTTTGCAGATGAGGAAATTGAGGTACAGATAGGTTAAGTAACCTACAGGTTAAGGTTGCCTAAGACCACACATGCTGCTCAGTGGGGCCGTCCATGAGCTCACCCACTACGCCATCCTGCTTCTTTGGCGGCTTTAGGGAAAGCAGTTTTCTCCCTTCTCAGAGGCCATCCTACATTTAGGGAGAAGGTAGTAAGATGACTGCTGGGGATTTCTTTACAGGACAAGCAATGGATTTGGTCCTGGAACAGAAGTTCCAAATTGGCAGTCCCTGGGCCAAATCTAGCCTCTAGGCGTTGTGTTTCGCCTGCACAGTATTAAAATATCCTGGCTATCCTGACCCGTGCTCCTGACTGACTACAACCAGCAGGACGTGAGTAGCAGGTGACCTCATACACCTCAGTTCCCAGCACTCCCCACTGTCTCCTTGAGTATGTATTTACCATTGGGCTCGCCCATCTTTTTTGTATAATCTAGCCACTTAGCTCATTTATTGAATTTGCCTGTCTTTAGAGATATTTACGTTCTTGATCTTTGCCTGAGGAGGCCCTTTTCAGGCTAAACAGCTTGTAAATTAGGTAGACAGGGCTGTTTAGAGTCCCAGGAAAATCGGAGCCTCTGCCAGCCTCTGAGTGCTGTGTGGCCAAATGCCTGTATGGGGGAAGTGGACCAGTCGTCTCTTCCAAAGCAGAGGAGTTCCTGGCTGTCTGCGAGGCCATCAGCCCCTCACAGTTCCTGGAGACCCAGAAAAGATTTTGAACCCAAGACTGACTTTCACAGTGAGAGTGTTGTCACAGAAGGTAAGCGGCTTTTCCGGGCTGCACGCTTAGGTCTCTCTGTTCTCTCTTCTCAGATGGTGGGGTTTCTTTTGCACCAGCTAAGAAATAAAAGATAGCTCAGGAATGTGAGTCCAAGACAGAATTCTCAGCCCATGCCTGCTGCCCCGAGTTCCATTCAGTGACTTGTGTTCCTGAGCAGGGGTGGTGTGCCCTTGAGGACTGACCAGTTACGATCTTTGATTTGTGTTGCAAAAAGATGACATCTTCTTTCCTTCTCTCCCTTTCTCTGGGACCTCAGAGGCTGCTGCACATGGTGGCTCCTGGTAACCAGAGCCCCTGGGATTGGAGACTGTCCCCAAAGCAACTCAGTCTCCAGACGTCTAGGTTTTGGCTTTTATCAAAAATCCATTCTTTCTTTCATTTGTAGTATATATATTTTTATTTTTATTTTTTATTTTTTCTCCCCAAATGCCCCCCAGTAGATAGTTGTATATTTTTAGTTGTGGGTCCTCCCAGTTGTGGCATGTGGGATGCCACCTCAGCATGGCCTGATGAGTGGTGCCATGTCCGTGCCCAGGATGTGAACTGGTGAAACCCTGGGCCGCCAAAGCAGAGCTTGTGAACTTAACCACTTGGCCATGGGGCTGGCCCCTGTAATAAATATTTTTTTTAATTGTGGTAAAATACACATAAGATTTACCATTTTATTTTTTATTTTATTTATTTTTCCTCTGCAGAGCCCCCAGTGCATGGTTGTATATTCTAGTTATAAGTCCTTCTAGTTCTGTGTGAGCTGCTGCCACATCATCGCGAGTAACAGACGGGTGGTGTGGTTCTGTGTCCAGGAAATGAACCTGGGCTGCTGAAGTGATGAGAGCGCCGAACTTTAACCACTAGGCTGTCAGGGCTGGCTCACCATTTTAACCATTTTATTTTATTTTTTTTAAAGATTGGCACCTGAGCTAACAACTGTTGCCAATATATATTTTTTTCCTGCTTTTTCTCCCCAAATCTCCCCCGTACATAGTTGTATATTTTAGACGTAGGTCCTTCTAGTTGTGGCATGTGGGACACTGCCTTGACGTGGCCTGACAAACGGTGCCGTGTCTGCACCCAGGATCCAAACCAGCAAAACCGTACCACTCGGCCACGGGCCCAGCCCCATTTTAACCGTTTTAAAGTACACAGTTCAGTGGGATTAAGCACGTTCACCATATTGTGCAACCACCACTGTGTAGTTCAGAACTTTTTCATCACCCCAGACTGAACGCCATACCTGTTAGCAGGTGCTTCCCATTTCCCCCAACCCCCTATCTGCTTTCTGTCTTATGGATTTTCCTATTCTGGATATTTCATTGTAAGGTAGCTTTGCATCCTAACATTTGCTTTCTGAAAATAATCGATATAAAAGTTTTAAGTAATAGTGGTACATGATCAATGTAAAAAGAAATTAAACATAGCTATCGGCTAGAAAACGTCCCTCTCTTCAATTCTTTTTTTTTTTTTTAAAGATTTTATTTTTTCCTTTTTATCCCCAAAGCCCCCCGGTACATAGTTGTATATTCTTCATGGTGGGTCCTTCTAGTTGTGGCATGTGGGATGCTGCCTCAGCGTGGTTTGATGAGCAGTGCCATGTCCGCGCCCAGGATTCGAACCAACTGGGCCGCCTGCAGCAGAGCGCGTGAACTTAACCACTCGGCCATGGGGCCAGCCCCCTCTTCAATTCTTACACCTTGGTGGTAACCCCTGTTAATCATTTGGTGAATATACTTCTGGAGCTTTCCCCTCACCCTCCTATACATAATTTTTAAAAAATTGCATCATACTGTTCTGCAACTTGCTTTTGTCCGTTAAGGCTTTCCTTTTTGTGTCTATACCTGTAAGTCTAGCTCACTCTTTTTTGTGGGCAGAACTTTTGTGTGTGAGGAAGGTTGTCGCTGAGCTAACATCT